AACTCAGTATGTAGACCAGGCTGGCCTCGAACTCACAAAGATCTGCCTGCCCCTGCCTCCACAGTGCTGGGATTAAAGGTGTGCGCCACCACACCCAGCCCCAGCATAAGCATTTTTAAAGCATAATAAACAAGAGGCTGGGAAGCTGGCTTAGTAACACGCTTGCTACACAAGCACATAACTGGCACCAAGGAAGTGCAGACGGGAGGATTCCTGGGGCTCACTGGCCAGCCCTGGCAAGTTGGTCATCTCCAAGTTTAGTGAGAGACCCTTCCCCAGAAAATAAGGGGGCCAGAAAGGAAGAAGCCGTCAAGACGCCTCCTATGCACACACGGACACGGACACCCCCACACACCTGTCCACATGCACACATGGATGCATGCACACACGGACACGGGCGCCCCCATGTCGCAAGCCACGACTCTGTCCAGCAGAGCCGAGGAAAGACGACACAGACACCAAGGGGAGGTTCAAGCTTCTTTTTCTCTCCCTTCCTTTATTCTTTCTTCTATTCTTTTATTTATTTGGGGGGTAAAAGTGGGCTCATACCACAGGGCACATGTGGCGGTCTGAAGACAACTTTTCAGGAGCTGGTTTTCTAGTTCCAACAAATGGGTTCTAAGGATAGAACTTAGGTCAGTCAGGCTTGGCAGCAAGGGTCTTTACCCCCTTGAGCCACCTCACAGACTCTGTTCAGGGTGAGGGTTATTGGAGTTTTTTGGTCTTTTTGAAACCAAGTTTCCCTGTAGCCCCAGCTAGCCCAGTAACTCCCCACGTAGACTAGGGTGGCCTCAATCCACAAAGATCTGCCTGCCCCTGCCTCCCAAGTGCTGGGATTAAAGGTGTGCACCACCACGCCCAGCCCCAGCATAAGCATTTTTAAAAGCATAATAAACAAGAGGCTGGGAAGCTGGCTTAGTAACACGCTTGCTACACAAGCACATAACTGGCACCAAGGAAGTGCAGACGGGAGGATTCCTGGGGCTCACTGGCCAGCCCTGGCAAGTTAGTCATCTCCAAGTTTAGTGAGAGACCCTTCCCCAGAAAATAAGGGGGCGAGAAAGGAAGAAGCCGTCAAGACGCCTCCTATGCACACACGGACACGGACACCCCCACACACCTGTCCACATGCACACATGGATGCATGCACACACGGACACGGGCGCCCCCACACACCTGTCCACATACACACAAACATGTTCACATACACAAAGCAGAATAAACATATAAATTGTATGTGTGAGTATATTTATATACAGTACATATTATTCTATCATTAATCAAAATCAATAAATACTTACCAATGTTGATTTGTATTTCTACAAGAGTCCATTGTGTGTCCCAGGAAGTGTGAGACAAAGACCCTTCCCTTATGGACCTCATACATAAGTCTCAGTGTGGAGGCCAGGTACAGCTGTATCAGATGAAAATGCACAGCCCAGCCCTGCCTATGACAACATCTACAGCCTGTGCTGTAAACAGCAAATGCCTAGAAATTGAAAAGAGCTGTGATCTCTTGGGTGGGCTGGAGAATTACAGAAAATTATTATGTTTGAAAAGTAGAGTCATAAAACATTTCTTACAGGATGTTTAAAAATCATAGGGGTGGTAAAGGGAAGGATGGAATGTTCTAGACACTGAGGGAAACTGGGGGCAGATTGAAGTAGCCTTTGAATGCCAAGTGAAGGACTTTGGACACGTATGTGTATATCTATATATATGGTCATTGTCTATACATCTTTACATGTGTGCCTTCGTTCATACATGTTTGGGTGTGTATGTGTGCATGTTCACATGTGTGCATACACATTCATGTGTGTCTCTGTGTGCACATGTCTGAGTATGCATGTGTTCATGTGTGTATATGTTCATGTATGTATATATTCATGTATGTATATATGTGTGCTTCTTCTTGTAAATGTTTGCTTGCATGTGTGCATGTTCATGTGTGTGCACATGTTGGTATGTTTTGTGTGTGTATACTGAGTGCATATATGTTCATTTGTGTGCATATGTGTCCCTCTAGGTAAATGTTTGAGTATGTGTGCATGTTCAGACATTTTTGTGTACATGTTCATTTGTGTGCATATATGTGCCTTTGTGTGTGCATGTTCAAATGTATATATGTGCATGTGCATATGTTCATGTGTGTGTTCATGTTCACACGTGTACATGAGTATGTGTAAACTGGAGGTTGACTCTGGGTCTCTTCTTCAATCACTTTCCTCCTTCTTTTGTGGGACAGGATCTCACCACACCTGGAGCTCAATGATTGGTCTGGACTGGCTGGCCAGGGGGCCCCAGGGATCCTTCAATCTCCTCTGTTCTGGGGTTTCAAGTGCACACCACTGTGCCTGCCACTGTGCCTGGCTTTTTTTGTACGTGGGGCTGGGGGAGGGGTTCTGGGACTTGAACTCAGGTCCTCATGCTTGTGAAGCAAGCACTTTACTGACTGAGTCATCTCCCCAACCCTTTGGATTTTGTTGGTGTCTTGGCTTATTGGCCTGATATCATCTAAAACCTTGTAGAATCTGAAGATCCAGATGAAGGACTTTGAAGTCAGTGTGGAGCCTGTGCAGAGCTGGTTGAGTAAAACGGAGAAGCTGGTGCAGGAAAGCAGCAATCGCCTGTATGACATGGCAGCCAAGAGGAGAGAGCAGCAGAAGCTCCAGGTGATGGGACCCAGGCAACCTGACCTGCTCTTCACCGCCCCGTCCACCCGGGGGCCAGATGCATGCTGGGGGCCCTGGACTTAGCTGCTGCCACTTTGTGGTGTAGTGTATCCTCCCCCTGCTCTGACAGACTGTATGCTTCCTGACTTCCCTTTGAGGTGTTTGTTTTCTTCCTGTACTGCTCCACTGTGCATAGCTTGGAAATAATAGTCTTCGGGGTACTCCAGTTGCTTGCCAGTGTTTACTTCCATGTCCCTTGGGCCAGTGCCCCGTCCTCCATGTGCTCTGTCCCGGCCTCTGAGTGCTAACTCGCTTGTGCTTTTCAGTCTGTCCTGGAGGAAATTCAGTACTACGAGCCTCAGCTCCACAGGCTGAAAGAGAAAGCTCGGCAGCTGTGGGAAGGACAAGCTGCCAGCAAGAGCTTTGTGCACAGAGTGTCGCAGCTGTCTTCTCAGTATCTAGCGCTAAGCAATGTAACCAAGGTAACGCCTGGCATGTGCTGTGAGTGAGTGTGGTACTGATGTCGCAAACCTGGAATGTTGATAGGTCCTGCAGGATTCACCCTGACACATCCACAGAGTGGTGTCTCCCTGCCTGGAAAGTGAACTGATCCCTTGCACGGTAACTCAACGTGCTTCTCAGAAACCACAAGGAAATTGCGAAGATTGAAATCACTGCCGATCTCCATCATCCAGAGCACTCCTAATACTAAAATGATGTGTACCATAGAGCTTTGATTTTTAAGGCTCAATGCATGAACATAAAGCAAAATTCAGAGTTTTTGTGCAAAGGACTCCCAGATTAAATTACACTAGAAAAACATGAACTCAAAAACAGCTTAAAATGTTTTGGACTCCATATAATGAGTCTAAGGTAATTTAAAAATTATCTAAAATCTGTAGATTATTATATAGTAGTCAGGGATGAGTTGAGAGTTTTAGTTTGGATTATAAAGCAGAGCTCAGAATTAGCTATAACTGATTAAATCTTTCCAAGATCTTAGAATAAAATCGTGGTACCGAAAGACCTTCACTGAACAAATCTCACCAGAATGACACAGACCCTGTGAACATCCAGATAGGGTGGGCCTTTCCATGATTGTATGAACCAAAACATGTGTTCCCTTTTGTATTTTTTGAAATGCATAGGTTAGCATTTAGAGAATCTATCATAACTTAATCTTTAATGCAACTTCATCTGTTTTATTATGAAGTAATTTCTAGTCTGCGAATGTGGGTCTTCAGCAAAACATTATTGAGAACTCCATAGTGGCAGAGTCTTGATGTAAACTCTATACTTGTAATCATGATTATTTGATGAATTATCTGCTTTTATCTAACTTTAGAAAATCTGACACATATCTAAAGTTAGAATAAACTAAAAACAACATTTTGCAATAGGGGTGATACCTCATGCCTATAACCCCAGTACTTGGAGGGCAGAGGCAGGAGAATTGCTGCAAGTTCAAGGCAAGCCTGGGCTACATACTGAGTTCAAAGCCAGCCTGGGCTACAGAGCAAGACTCTTCCTCAAAAACAAATGAATTTTTAAAATCACCTATTAATGAATAGAACTTCAAGTATGAAATCTGTTTCACCAATACAGTAAAACATTGCTTAACAACAGAGATAGGGGATACATTCCAAGAAATGCATTGTTAGCTAATTCATCATTATGCAAACACATGAAATTATTGAGCAAATCCACATGGATTGTCTTACCATTCACAACATAGGTACACTTGCTACACTTTGTATATATGTGTTGAGGTATCACCCTCTTTCTCTAAATATTCAAAATCGCGGTCTCTATTAAAATAGGCATGTATTATATGCATGTAATTTAGAAAGTACATTACATTACAAAATATCAGGTCACTATATTTTAAGACTGACTACACTGTATACGCTGTAGATCTGGAGGGGTTTGTGGTATCATGTGAACCAAATATAATATATGAAAGTTAAAGACTACTATGATTAGAATGCCAAACATCATTAGGAAGTGTTTCACTGATTTAAAAGTCATGATTTTCATAAATATGTCTAACCCAAGGGGCAGTTTAACGTAATTGTCTTGTCTGTCTTTTGACCGTTACTCTACAACTTTTTTCTACTTACAAGAAAGGTGAGTCACACCCAACATGCTCAGACTTGCATCTTATCTGTGCAGCCTGGAACTGGCTGGAGTAGTTTCAAGCAAGGTGTTTGCTTTCCCATGTGAATGGGTGTAGACTATGAAGTCTGTTGGCAGACATCTAGAAAATCATCTCTGTTGTTTCTAGGAGAAAGTGTCCAGGCTGGACAGGATTGTTGCTGAGCACAATCAGTTCTCCCTCGGAATTAAAGACCTGCAGGACTGGATGACAGATGCAGTCCACATGCTGGATTCCTACTGCCTCCCCACATCCGACAAAAGCGTACTGGACAGCAGGATGCTCAAGCTCGAGGTGTGCATATTTAGAGACCCTTGACTTTCAGATTGTGTTTTCAGTATTTCCCAAGTGTCTGTCTGCCTGGTGTGACTGCGTCATGCTGTCTCTCGTAAACTTCTGGATGCCCCACCAACATGTTTCTGTTTGCATTACATGCTAATCCTTAAACATTCAGATTTCATTTGACCCCTGACACATTACCTCACAAATTCTTTATAAAAAGTAAGGCACAAATCTGATTACTTTCTTTAAATTATATAACAGACACATTTATTTTGAAGAAATCTTTCGATGAAACATTTTATAGGACAAAGCATTTTATCCAACTCACTTTCCTGCCTGTGTTCTTCAGTCCACGCTTCTTCCATCTGAAAATGGCAATTCTAGTTGGCATTCACAATTAGAGGAATTCATCTTCACGTATTTGAATCTCCCTTG